AGTAGATAATTCAAGTGAAAAAGAGACATGGATTCGTCAAAAAAAGAGATAAATTGGTACGGGCACGTCCTTCAAGCTAGTCGGCAGAAAGTGCACAACGATGGACAAAATAAAAACGGTATATCTGTGCTGACGGGGTTCACTTTCGGTGCGGGAAATTATGTAACCGTAAGGAAACGGGCGCGAAAGTGAAAACACGTTCTAAAACGATGTGGTGAGTGAACTCATACGAAGATGATTACTGGAAAATCCGATCTATCACTTCACAAAAAAGCAGTCCGAAACCCTTTCTCAAAACCCCACTCTTTGTGGGTTCGGAGCGATCTACGCGGACAGAATATAATTACTTACGCGGGGGACCGAACACGTTAAAGCGCGAACTGACCAGAATGAAGGCTACAAAACCAACTAGTCTATTTATTAAATTGCACAAAACAGTGGTGTGTTCAATTTCTCGCTATAGATCGCAGACGGTTCACCAAACCGACCGAGTAGCGTGGTTCCTGATGTATTTACACAACTCCGAATCGATGGCGTCAAAGATTCGCAGATACTGTGACAGCAAAGCACAGAAAACTCCTGCTATGTCAACAGAATAGGGTGTACATCAGTCTGGCATGGCTGAAGTATCCATACCTTTACGTTCTGAGCATCTGTACACGTCATATTCGGCCATAGTGGGAAAATCATCCAAAGTGGAACAGCCGTGTGTCCGACCAATTCCTTCACGTAAGGAAGTGGCATGTAGTTAAATTAGTGTAATCATCTGCATTACGAATTTCATGCCCGATTGGATTGGTTTTGTTTCAACGATTTTCCTGAACAGTGTTCCAATAATTCTTTTAATTGAACGCCTTAGTGTGATGAACAATAGATGGGGTAAACCCCGAGAAAGTGCTGTTCAGCGGCGGAAACCAGTAATATAAACCCTGGGCTTGTAATGGAGAACCAATGGGGTCCCGTTAGTTTAGGCGTGGTATTGAACTGGAAAACAGCAAAGCAAACACCAAACTCTTCCGAGCACAACAATGCGTTCATACGTAGACCAGCTAATTCGGCCCGAGCATTCAATTTGGTATCTGCCATCGTAAAGCCAATTATTCCACCCGCCAGATGAAGCTCTCAGCAAGTTGCAGATAATAATCAATAACCACTTGGCGCAAAGTGGAGAGGACATGTTGCAAGTGCCCAAAGGGACCGCAGTAAAAGGTCACCGAACCATCTGATGGAATATACTTGCTGCTTGCGAAAAATTTCTTCGATAACGCACCGTGTCAGTTCGCGTTTCCGGGTCACTTTCTGATCCCATTATCGTGGCACGAGGAGTTCCACAGCAATCAGTGTTTGGCTCTCAAGTTTTCCGTATTTTTATAAACGACCCAATGGACAGTCTGGGGCCACAAACGTTAATGTTCGCAAAAATATGGAAAACGGTGACAAAACCAGAGGACTCGCTACCACTTCAGAGAGCACTTATTGCTGCCTACCAAAGATCGATCGAAAACGACTTGGAATTTAACGCATCAAAATGTACGGTTCTATTCCTACGCCACAAATTCAGTTTCTGTATTTCCTGGGAGATCAACAACCTCCATATGTCTCGAATAAGAAGGATCTTGGTGTTATTGTCCAAGAAGACCTAAGTTGTTCTTTAAACTGCTCCCGGACACCGTCCACCGCTGTAAGACATGTTGGTTTGCTAAAGAGAGTATTTGGCAAATTTGAACATACGCTGTTTCCGCGGTTGTTATCAGCCTACATTGGGCCCTACATGGAGTAGGCATGTCAAGCGTGGAATCCATGGTTGCAACACGATCGGAAGATTCTGGAACGTCCACAAAGAATGGCCACCAAAATGGCCAAGGGACTGCATTCCAAGAGTTATGTGGAAAGACTGGAATCACTGCAACTGTACCCCGCACAGTACCGCCGTATTCGAGGGGACTTGATCGTAGTGCATCAAATAATGCAGAACCCGGGTCACCCATGTTGTTCACTGTCCGCCTTGTCACCCAACACTCACCTAACGGGGCACTCATTCAAATTAGTGCTCCAAAATGTCAACTAGAATGACGCCTTCATTCCTCCACCCTTAAAGTGTGCACCACTGAGAATTCTCTACCACCACACGTTATTTGTGTGCCAACAATTGATTCCTTCAAGCACAGAGTGAATGAAGCCTTGACGAGTCTTAAACTCCAATATCCGTGGCAGTGCGAAACAAGGATAAATTGTGACATTCGTCTACTTTCTATGAACCGTGAATCGATTCATCTGTGCTAAATCCTATCGGACTATAAAAGCAATCGCTTGTATGTAAGTAACTATTACCTGTAATAAAACTTTGACTTCAGCGGGTGACTACGAATACCTAAAACTCTGACTCTAACTTCAGCATCGATCTTCCGGGTACCCCACCAGACTCACACTGTGAGTGTGATAAAAAACGAATTGATGTCTNGTGCATCAAATAATGCAGAACCCGGGTCACCCATGTTGTTCACTGTCCGCCTTGTCACCCAACACTCACCTAACGGGGCACTCATTCAAGTTATTGCTCCAAAAATGCGGGCGTCGTTCACTCGCCATACTACACTACTTGGGATTCTTTACAACCACAGGTTGTTTCTGCGCCTACAATTGATTTCTTAAAGTACAAACTGGATGAGACCTTGTCAAATCCTAAATTTCAACATCCGCAGCAGTGCACGAAACAAGGATAACTTGTGCCATTCCTCAACTTTACGTGAACCGTGAATCGATTCATCTGTACTAAACCCTATGGGACTAGAAAAGCAACCGCTTGTAAGTATCTCCCGTATTAAAACTTTGACTTTGGCTAACCGAATCGCTCACTTTGCCGTATAGCGCCCGTGCAAATGAATTCAGAACGATGCCCACACGTGAAATAGACGTATGCGTGCAAACAGAGCACAAATACATTCAACATCAGATAATACCAAGCTAACGAGAAACAAATCAATGATGAACACTTACTCTGGGAAAAACACCCATTTCAACCGAGTTTTAATGGTGGACCGAGCGATGAATTCGTTCACCTCATTCTCCTCAGTACGCTGTGATGTGTCCGGGACGGTCAACTCATCAATCAATTTGTGCTTAATGATCGTGTCTCGATGACTCAGATCGGAATTCAACTGTTCCACTGATTTACCCAACAGATCACTATCATCCTCGGGAAGTACCATCACCGGAAAATATTTTGGTCCTCGAACACTAATAAATGGGAAATACGAGAGAAGCATATNNNNCCCGAAAAAAACAGAACATATTAAATTTTGACTGACTAATTTGTTGGAACCAAAATAAAGTAGAAAAAGATCACAAATATGTATAAGGGCTAAATAATCCCACAGTAAGAAGCATCAGTAGGGTATACTTACGGTGGGTTCGGATCATTTAAACAAGTATCCTAGCCAAGACACCAAGCACTGGCAAATGCACACCTCAATCAAACACACGCAGTAACACTGTCGAAATGAATGCCTTACAACAATCGATTCCAGGGGCATTATTATAAGTGAAATTGGCCAGTCACTAAAAGTTGGACTTTTTTCAACAAACACATGATATCTACTCTCGCTAGTCACCAATTTTCCTCTTCATGAAATCACCGATATTGCTCGCGATCCGGCATGGAACTCATCTCGATAAACCATCCAGTCATTCTACGAGGCTCCTGCTATTATAAACAAGTGGAATTTATATTGACAAGGTGATACTGTGAGGCGACAGGAAGCCCACTAGAGCCAGTGTTGGTAGATATCCTAATGCGATAAGTAGAAGATAGAAAAAAACGACCAGTAAAAGCACTCGTCTTCAAACGGTAATTTGGCGCCACATGTGTTGTAGTCGAAGACAGGGATCATTTACGAACTTTGAACTGTTATCAGTTCAACATCGAATCGACCATAATCAGTCATCCATCCGATCGCTCTGTGTTAAAATCGAGAGAAAGGAAAATGGACCTCTTACTGGGTCTGAAAACCAGCTTGAACGGGACAGTGTCAAAACTTCTAAAGTTTGTGTCCGATACAGTATAAGTAAAGATTAGAGAAAGATTTGTTTTCTACGGCAGAGGTTTTTTTTCCGTAAAACTGATATTCCAAGCACTCCCGGACAAGAAATTTTCCCAAAAATTTCATCGCCCAGTCCGGTAATAGGCTGAAGACTACTGAATGAAAAATATGACGGGCCAAAAAAATTACCTTTCCAAGGTGATCTAGGGGAGAAACTAACAAAAATCTGTTTAAAGCGAACTCTTCTAGAGACATACCACATCAGTTCGCTAAATATTCCAAAAACAGTGGTGGTGGCCCGGTGGTAACGTCACCAAATCATCACCCCGGGGATTTGTTTTCGAATTCTGTCATTACAGCCTAGCTTCCCTCATTTGTTTGTTAAAAGGGAGCCGTTTGATAGGCCGCTCCCTCCATCCTGAAAATTTTATTTTTGCATATTCAATTATAAGAAGTAAAATTAAAAGAAACAGATGAAAGATCACCGAATCAATTTGGATAATGCGGACGACCCAGTTAACAACTCCGGTATTACTTATTTTCAGTGCAATTGCGTTAGTAAGCATTCCAGGATAATTGAGATATGATAAGGCTTGAGAATATCAGGACGATAGTGTCGCGAATGATTTTCAGATTCCCCCGTTTCCATTTTCCGCCATTCACTGGGCTGCAAAATCCGTATCAACCCCAACCAAACAATCCGGGCTCGAAGCCAACAGGGGACTGGGCGGTTGTTGTCTTCTGATTAGACTGTGGCCATTCGACGTCAAAAATCAGACTTCTGAAAACAAGTAGACATTGTGATGCAGAGGCTCAGTCGATACGACAGAATGATAAGGACAAATGATCGGTATTCGAACACCGCTCTGTGCATCGCAGGAGTTGAGCCCGATGGGGCAACTGGTCAAGTAATTTTGAGGATGAGCGAAGAGTTTCAAACAAGGACTGTGACCAATTGGAGCAAGTTCTTTATCCTCGTCACTTAGGTTGCCTGGGGCATATGTGAATTATGTCACCAGATAGCTTCCTTAGGCATGTGATGTTTTCCCAGACAGGTACTGGATAGGAGAGGGGCAAAGACCTCGCGGGTACGAAAACCGTGTCCAGAGTAATTTTACATTTGGGTCACGTTAGACTTCGAGACTAAGACCTCAGAACCGGTCTAATCGCTATTTCGGGATACTGAGTCTTAAACAGCGGCGTTTGTGCAGTTGGTAATAAATTCAATGTAACTACATCCTATATGTTTATTCTAGTAGTACTTTCAGCCAAATAGAGAGACTAAAATCACTGTATGAAGTTACACGGTTAGCGGTTGCATGAGTTGAACAGAACTGTTCAGTTTACGTAACTGTAGTTTGAGGCATAGCGTCCAGACTGCAGTTGCAGTGAATGCCAATTTAAAATCGAACAGAAACTGGAAAGGAAAGAACTGTACTATTTTAAACTTACTTCGTACTTCTACGGATGAATCAGGAGCATAAGTTCATTTAGGAGACGCACCCACACAAAGCGTCATCAAGTTTCCAATCAGAAGGGGATGTATTCGCTGAACCGGAATCAGAAGCGCAGTATACTAAAGGAGGTTCTCATACGTTTCTTGTAGACAATAAACCCAACAGTCCTTACTTGTTTACTATCCTTTGTAAGGCCGCGGCACACTTCCTGTAAGTTGGAGGTGAATTTATACACCAAAAAAATCAGGCAGTTAGAATATTAATAATAACAAAGCTGTTGAGCTTTTCCGGATCTTAACTGTACAGTAAGATACGATACATTGCATTCACATAGCGTCTGACGGAGGTTTCGGGAGCAGGAAACTACTTCTTTGGAAATCTGGACCAATGACTCTCATATGTGGACTGGTATCCATCATCTGCAATCTGTCGCACGCCCATCACTCGTCTTTTATTTTCGAGTAGCTGTCACAATCAGAGCGTTAACGCAAACGAGTGTCATCCATTTGTACCACCAGTCAAACTCAGCAAAGTGCGCATTCGTGTTAATCGTGAATTGTTTATTGCTGTAGCCTCCCAAGGCCTCAGTATGGTTGGGGGGGTGGGTGTCTAGGGTTGCGGCTGGTCACCCTGCCCTTGCACCTCACGAAATGCCCCCATACGACCAAGCGTCTCAAATAGCCTCTGCTGAGGAAGCCCTACTCACTGCCTTCTCGGGGCGGAGGTGTTTTCCCACCAAAGTGAGAGGACGAAAAGCCGATATCCGGGGCTATAGCCGGATTGGTGGACCACTGGCAGTTCACCTAGGGGAGTTGACCAAAAACCCTGATTCCAAACCAACCATGAGGAGACGTACGAACCACACCCACACCTTTCCGGTTGTGGCAGTGGTCACCGGCTCGATTGGG